CCCTGTCTCAAAAGAAAATTTAAAAATAAAACCCTTAAAGTTAAGGAGAGCAAGAAAGCCAGAGAAACATCTATGACACTGACTTCACTGGCAAGAGAGAACTCTGACAAAGCAGCAGTACTTGCTCAGTGATGCGCCGTTTAAAGCTTTTAAAGAGTTTTTTTTTTAATATTTATTTATTATGTATACAATATTCTGTCTGTGTGTATGCCTGCAGGCCAGAAGAGGGCGCCAGACCTCTTTACAGATGGTTGTGAGCCACCATGTGGTTGCTGGGAATTGAACTCAGGACCTTTGGAAGAGCAGGGAATGCTCTTAACCTCTGAGCCATCTCTCCAGCCCAAGAGTTTATTTATTTATTATGTATATAGGTTTCTTCCTTCATGTATCCTGCAGTACAGAAGAGGACACCAGATCTTATTACAGATGGTTCTGCGGCACCATGTGGTTGCTGGGAATTGAACTCAGGACCTCTGGAAGAGCAGCCAGTGCTCTATTCCTCTGAGCCATCTCTCCAGCCACCTAAAGAGTTTAAAATAATTTCTTGGTTTTTGTTTTTTATAGAACCCAGGCCTTCTCTTATCCCCCACATTTCTGGCCCTGCTCTCACAAGGACCACAACACCTAGGCTCTTTTTAAATTGTTCTTTTAACATAGTCATAGACTTCGCCCTTAGGTAAAGCCAGAAATTTAAAGACCAGGCATGGTGGCACACATTAGTGATCTCAGCACTTGGGAAGCAGAGACAGGTAGGTCTCTGTGCCTGGGCTACTTAGTAGGGTGTTGTCTCAAAAACAAAACAAATGACTTTTGAAATGCTTATAAGCTGCAGTTTGTTTCTCCTAACCGACCCGAGCAGACAGTTTCCCAGGACACTGGAAGCATCTGCATAGTTTATCTCAGCTCCCTGTGCGCATTCCTGCTTGTAGAAGCAGAGTTCTGTCTGCTGCTACGGTTGACCTCGCATCTTCCAAGACATTTCAGGCTGTAGGAACAGGACGTTAGTAAATAAAAAATATAGACCCTGGGTTTTTTAGTTCACATTCCTAACCACACACACAAAAGATATTTTTGATTGGTGAGGGATGAGACAGTGTCTTTTCAGATATTTAGTCATCAAAAATGACAAGTCGGCTGAGAAACCCATATTTAGTAAGAAGATGGAGGGTGAGGCCAGATGTGAGCTCCTGGGAAGGGAACAGTGGGAGGGGGACATATGGAGCATGTCTGAAAACAAAACATTGGACAAGTATTCAAGTGTGATAAACACGGTGGTCAGAGGAGGAATCGTTGGTATGCATGCTGCAGAGTTGTCCCAGGCCAGAAGAGACATTGCAACATCCAAAGCCCAGGCCAGCACTCCCATTTGCTGTTCTTTCTGGAACTGTGTTCTTTCCCATTACAAAAAAAAATAATAGGGGGCTGTAGAGATGGCTCAGTGGTTAAGAGCATTGCCTGCTCTTCCAAAGGTCCTGAGTTCAATTCCCGGCAACCACATGGTGGCTCACAACCATCTGTAATGAGGTCTGGTGCCCTCTTCTGGCCTGCAGACATACACACAGACAGAATATTGTATACATAATAAATAAATAAATAAATATTTTAAAAAATTGAAGAGAGAAAAATCTTAAGGATGAACACTGGATGAAAGGTGTTCTACTGTTCCTACATTTTCTTCCATAATATTTTAATTTTCTAATGTCAAATGAAAATATACCAATCTAATTTTTTGAAGTACCTTCTGATCTCTAAAGAGTAGGTATCAGGCCTTGTATTCGAAACAAGGAATCAAAAACTTGAGATCAATGGCCACATGAATAAAGTCCCTGGAAAGAAGCAAACCCTGCACTGAACATTCCACAAAGACTAATTAACTGATGGGGGGGGGCTTCCATAGTCAGGGAACAGTTGTGCTATTGAAGGTCTGTTGAAATATGGAGCGGCGGCGGAGCTGCGTCCCCAACACCCCAGCCGCCTGCTAGCTTATGCCCAAAATAACAACACACAAACTGTATTCATTTAAAGAACTGCTTG